GAAATCAATACCGTTACCTCCTCGTGCTAGAAGATGTGTTCACCCGGTACATCGAGATTAAACCCCTGCGGAAAGCCAACGCCAAGAACATTTGGAAAGTGTTGTATGAGACAGTGATTTTACGCTGGGGAAAACCACAGTTTTTCCTCAGCGATAACGGAAACGAATTCGTGGGAAAAGAACTCGCGAAACCCCTAGCCCAATTAGGGATCACCCACATCACCACCCCTCCATATCACCCCCAATCCAACCCCGTCGAGAGAATTAATCGCTCCCTCAAACCCATGATAGGTATTTACGCTGGCGACAATCATCGCGATTGGGACCAGCACTTCCCGGAATTAGCGTTTGCCCTAAATACATCAATCCATTCTTCCCTTGGGGTCTCACCCGCATTTCTTAATATGGGTCGCATCCCCCCACCTCCCAGTCCCCTCATCAAATCATCAAATGGCGCCCCCAATCGCCCTGACCCAACTCCCCCAGGCCCGTGGAAATTGAGGATAGAAAAGATGAATTACTTCTACGTTCTCGCCCGGAAATATATGGGTGTAGCGTTCGCCAAACAATCGGGATATTATGACGAAGGCCGACACGATGAAATTTTTCGGGTGGGTCAATTGGTATTGAGAAGGCACCGACCCCTATCACAAGCAGCCCAACATTTCGCCGCAAAATTAGCCCCAAAATATGACGGCCCCTACCAAATCGTTAACATAATTTCCCCTAGCCTATATGACCTCGAAGACCCCCGAGGCAATAGGATATACAAAATACATATTACCGACTTGAGACCCTACCACCTTCGACCCCTTTCAGATGCCGACCAGTGGAAGAGTCCCCTATGGAAGGGGGATATAATCAGTCCCCCTAGGCGAGGAAGCTCCCCCACCATCCTACCCCTCGGCGGCCTGGCGAGCACAGGAGGAGATTCTGGTCCAGGCCAGATTCGAAACCAAGCGGGAGAAATGGAGAGCCCAGGCGGAACCACCGAAGAAGCCCCAGGAAAAACCACAGGACCAGCCCCAGAAACCACCTCAGGAGGAAACCCCCCACAAGCCCCTGACAACACCCCCCCTAAAAGACGACGAGGTCGACCCCTGCGACGTCCCCCTACCCCCCTCGACGACCCCATCGACCAACTCCCCATCGCCACCCGACTCCGACGACGAGTTTGAGACACAGACCCCCAACCGTTCCCTTAAGGACTTGATTAGCACCCTCGCTTTACTTCCCCTACAAGTTAGACCAACAGCCCCCACCCGACGCCCGACGACCACACCCCCAACACCCACGACCACCCAGAGTTCCACACCCACCCCCATCCAAATCTCCCCTACCCCACGCCGCAGCCCCCTCCGCCCAAGACCTATACTTGTCCTACCCCATTCCCCACGCCGATCCTCACCTGCCCCAGCCCTGATGTCCCTCCACGCCCCTCGACCCAGCTGTTACCAGCCCACCAAAACCTGCAACCCCAAAACAATTAGACGGCCCCCCGGCTACCCACAAACCTCCCCCATCCCCCAACAGTCACCCCTGCTCTTCAGTGGATGCAGGAGGTGCAACGGCGACCACTGGGCCAGGGAATGCCCAGTCATGGCTCGTCGTTGCTACTTCTGTGGCCACTGGGGAGTAGACGTTGCGTCCTGCCCGGACTGCTGACGCCTCCCCTAGACAACAACCCCGGACCAACCACCCCCCCTTTCTTTTCTTGCGGAAGTGCACCCCTTTCTTTTTGTCTTTTACGTGTTGTTGGATGCACCCGACTTGTATACTTTTCATTGATACCAATAAAAACCCAGCTCTGGACAATCGTGATCTCTTTGATATATCCCTTCCCGTAGTGAATGCCTGTATGAACAACTTGTTGGAAAAGGAAAGAGTGAGTTCAGGGTGCATGGGATGAGTGTGACTTAGCAAATTAAAAGTAAAAAACTAACGAATGACAGCCTTCCTTCCAGCTTTTCACTCCTGGAGTCGGCAGCAGGCAACCTTGCAGTCAAGTAAAATCGGAAATCTCGAGTAAAAGCAGAAAATGAAAATAGAAAAGGGGATCGTATCGTTCAGCATGGGGTTGTGGAAACCCCATGCATTCTCTACCCCCGGGACAGCTGTGACGAGGCACTTTTTTAGCCCTCCCCTGCCCCCTAATAATGACTTGTTTTCGTTACCTATAAGTAGGTTAGAAATTACGTTAAGGAAACTATACAAACCTGCCACCGTTGGCCACC